TTGGTTTGTTTTATTTTGGGGGTACAGGGCCTCTCGGGGCGCTCCTGGCTCGCTGGGTCCCCGCAGGTAAGGGGCCTCGAGCGGGGGTGGGGCGGGGGAGTTGAGTTTTCCTGGGCAACAATGGGGAGGTGACAGCCAGAGCCCGAATTCCCTCCGACTCCGCCCGGAGCCTCCCAGGGAGAATCTCAGGTTCCTGCTCTCAGCTTGGCTCTCTTTGCAGAGAGAAATTTCCCCGGGCGCTCTGCGGAGGGCGAGATGCCCCAGCTTCCTAGGGTGGGCGACCCGGGGACTGCAGGGAGGAGTGAAGGGGAAAACGAAGAGGCTTGTGTGAGGGGAAAGTGACTTCCCCCGCCCTAAGAGCCGGGTGTAAATTCTGGTTTTACCTGCTGCTCTGGTGTGCACTGCACGCTCCCACTTTATTTTCCTCTCCTCCCTCGGCCCTAGGTTAACTGGCCTTCCACCTGTAACCTGTGGATCTCCCTACAGAGCCGTCAAGCCTGCGGTTCCCACTAGCGCGTTCAAAGCCATGCGTTTCCTCTTCACTCTTTCCTCCATAACGTAACTTTTTATTTTGAAGTAATTTAAGAGCGAAAAATTTCCCTCGAGCAGACACGATCGCCAGTAGGTCTTAAATGCATCACCCGTACTCTGCTTTGTTACAATAAAATAACAGAAGGCTGCTTGCAAAAAATATGTAGAATGTGAAACGATTGAAAACCACTTTTAAGTGTAATTCACCAGTTCATGCATATGTACTGTGTGCAGCCAGCATTACAAGCAGGGGGAGCCGGGGTGGAGGGAAGAGAGATGAAGCCAGGAGACAGTGTGGTTTGTCTATATGCATGTGCATTGAGTGCTACTTTCTGTGTCCCCAGTCCACCCTCCCAGCTGCTCTTCTCTGGCAGGTTCTTGAAGGAAGTTTGTAAATTTCACCTGAGCTTCCTAGCAGCAAGGGCCAAAAGTTCCTTCGTTAGGCTCTCACAAATTTGTTTTGTTTTGTTTTTAACAGTCAGAACAGGGAAAAAAATCCTCAAACTTAGGTCTGGCAACACTGGGTTGGCTTTTCCGACTAGAACTGAGTACTAGCCGTCCGTCCTCTTTTATCTATGGCTCGTGACCCCCTCAAGTTTGTCCCACCTTTTCCTTCTTGTGGTAACTTGTCCCTGGCCCGCTTTTCCTGTTGGGCCCTCGGGGCATTTCAGTGGATCACTTTGCTGGGGAGAGAAAAATAAAAGGACAGAAATGTAAGGTGATTGTCCAGTATTCCCTTCTCTTAGCTGTTTGCAGTGTTTCCTGCACTGTGAACAACCGAGGCTGAAATCATACTGGCTTCCAGGTTGACTACAGCTCCCCGCATGGGGCACCTGCCTCACTGCCCGGCCTGGTTTATTTTGATGCCCAGACCTGCTTCACCTGTGTGTACTGTCCCAGGGGCCTCCTGGGCATGCCATATTTTTGTTGTTTGTTTTTCTAGTCGGGAATTGCCTTGAGAAGGGCATGTTCTCCTGACATCCAGCTCCAGAGAACTCTGAGGTTTCTACTTGTCACCTCCATGATGTGCCCCAGGTCGTTTAAAAACAAACAAACAAACAAACAAACTTAATTCATTCCTGTATGGTTCAAAACAGTTTTGAAAGCTCGAATATCATTTCAGCTTTTCGACAGCCATTCAGATTGTCCTTTTCCAATATCTTAAACTCAGATCATTTTTGGAAAAGTTACTAGGAAAAGATAAACATGCAGATGTAATACTGCAAGGGCAGTATCAAGAAAAGTTGTATTGCTCCTTCTTTTGTTCCATATTCTGAATTTCAGATTGGAGGGCAACAAAGGGCTCCCTGGACACCGTGTAAGTGAATTCTAATCCCTGTGACCAGGAGCACTCAGGACTGTGACAATCCCACATCTCCCAGTGACTTATGTGGGACCTTAAGCAAATCACTTAACCTTTCCAAACCTCAGATTTTTTCAGTAGTAAAACCAGAGGGTATGGGAGCATCGCTCCTAGAACTACTGTATCTCTCTACACTTTCCATGTCTGAGCCAGACATTACTAATCAATGGCTGTGTTCTCCACTGATCCAGAACTCACCCTCAGCCACATCTCTGGACTAGATGATCTAAGGTCACTTTGATCTTCAGTAGTTGGGGGGAAAAAAAAAATGGAGTGGGCAGAGCCAGGAGGAGAAATTCCATGTCTCTAAATGGATTCTTTTGTGACCATGTCATTCTTCTCCTTGGAGAAGATGATATTAGTTCAAGTTCCAAGATTAAAAGTTTCTCCTGGGCTCTTCCAAGCTGCTGTCCCTTTATTTCCTTGCCAAGGAGTCGAGGGAAGGGGCAGGTCTGCAGGTCTCAGGGGCACACACTGCATCAGTCACCCTGTAGTCCATCCTCCCCTGCTCGGAGGGGAGAGCTCTCCCACCTGAGAGCTTGGGTTCCCAGCCTAATCATTTGAAAGTAATCCTCACTTGCTTTTTAAAGTGATTGCTCAGAAACATTTCTTGCTATTTAAGAATCCCTAGCATTGGGTGACATTCTGTGGCTTTCAGAGAGTGACTTAGATTTTTTTTTTCATTCTGCCCTGGCTTGAAAGTCTTTGGGGAACAGTGTGGCCAAGATGTTAAGAGAATAAGAACTTCCTGTGGCTCTAGCGTAACCACAGGTTTTTCAAAGGGAGCTCCCTTCTAGTCAGAGAAGAGGCCAAACACAGAACTTATTTTTCCTCTTACAAATGAGAAGACTGGGCATGGTGGTGCACACCTGTAATCCCTGCACTTGGGAGGCTGTGGCAGGAGGATCACTGTGAGTTTGAGGCCAGCTTGGGCTACATAGTGAGACCCTGTCTCAAAAAAATAAAGAAGTAAATGAGAAGACTACCCAGGGGCAGGTGACAGTTTATCTTTTTCATAGTTTTATCATGATACAATTTACATGCTGTAAAACCTACCCCTTTAACAGGTACAACTCTGTGGTTTTTCATATATTCACACAGTTACACAACTATCACCACTAATTAATTCCAGAACATTTTCATCAGCATGACAGGGCCTGCCCTGTACTTCTGTCCTGGTGGCCTCTCTGAATTTGGGTGTTGATTATAAAGGGGGCTGAAAAGTTGGGATACTTTTCTGAAAAATGAGCTGCTTTTTTTCCCTCTTGCTTTCTTTTAGTTAAGGCCAGACAGTTGCTCTTAGCACCTGTCACTCTTGATTGGGCATTAGGGTCCCCCCCATCATGCTGCACCTGATTCTGATTTAGATATGGTGTGTGTGTGTGTGTGTGTGTGTGTGTGTGTGTGTGTGTGTGTGTGTATTGCTAATAGTTTGTATTTTCTTACCTTTTTGTTTTTCCAGTACTGGGGATCCAACTCAGGACCTTGTTCTTGCAAGGCAGGTGCAGCACTGAGCTAAATCCCCCACCCTAGTTTGTATTTCTAACAAGGCTGCTGGCTCTAGTCTGGTCTAAGCTTTTGGTTCCATTTATTTTATTTTATTTATTGATTGGTTGTTTTGTTTTGTTTTGTTTTTTTGTGGTGCTGGGGATGGAACCCAGGGTCTCACGTGTGCTAGGCAAGCGCTGTACCACTGGGCCACACTCCCAACCTCTGGTCTAGGCCTTTGAAAGCACTGTTCCCTCTACCTGGAACTGCATCCTCACCTTTACCTGGCTGATCCCTACTTATCCTTCATATCTGTTTGCTTCCTGGAAGTCCTTTCTGACACCTGCCCCAGCTGGACTTCAGAGCCCTTTCTCTGAGCCCTTGTCTTTGTGCTCATCATACTGAGTCCGATCCCCAGTGCCCAACACACTTGTTCCAGAATAGGCACACCGGTGACACAGTGAGGACTCAGGACTACGTTTGAAGTCAGCCCAAAGTTCATTAATATCAACGTCTTGTCATGAATCCTAACCCAACCGAGACTCTTAAAACCACACACTTGATAAAAAAAAAAAAAAAAAAAAAA